ACGAAGTCCCACGTGCTGTTGATGGTCCACAAACTTTATATTTGTGGACCATCAACAGCACGTGGGACTTTGTTTCCTTTATCTCTTCGTCCATGAATATGTGCTTTCCAGTTTATTGTTCTTTTCCAGACCTCTCAGCATTTTGCCTGCCCATCTCTGGATACGTTCCAGATTGTCAATGTTCATGAACTGTGTGGCCCAGAACAATGTTTCAGGTGAGGTCTGACCAAAGCCAAATAAGAATGGCACTACTACTTCCCTCGATCTGGACACTATTGTACTGTTGGTAAAGAATTGCATTGGGAGGGTTGGCCACTGCATTGCACTGTTGACTCGTGTTTAAGTTGTGGTCTACTAAAACACCTAGATCCTTTTCATATGTACTGCTTTCAAACCAGATGTCACCCATCCTATATTTGTGCATTTCATTTTTTCCAGCCTAGACATAGTACCTTACATTTTTCCCCTGTTGAAGTTCACTTTGTTCATTTTGGCCCAGTCCTTCCATCTGTAGGGTTATTTTGAATTCTAATCCCATCCTCTGGGGTATTAGCTACTCCTTCTCATTTGGTGTTATCTGCAAATTTGATATGCATGCCCTCTATTCCATCCTCCAAGTCATTGATAAAGATGTTGAATAGTACTGGGACCAAGACAGAACCCTATGGCACCCCACTAGTCATTTCTCTCCAGGATGAAGAGAAACCATTGAGTTAGGAACCATGTAGTCAGTTGTGCCCTGGAAGTGGTGTTACACCACATCTGGCTTCTGTTTTGGCCAGTTTGCATCTGATTTAAAGAGTCTGGTGGGATTGGAGAGAAAGGAGGCAAGCTTGTGCATTTGCAAGATTGTTGGTGTGTTTTGAGCCATAAATTTGAAAAATAGCTCCCAAACCACTCCAAAAAATAAGCAAATTGGGGAGCCTGGGGATATCGGGTGTGTTGGGGGCTGCAGAAGTAGCATTGGAGGGACTTCTACACAAAGTCCAGCCCTTTCATTCCTGATCAGCACCTCCTTCGGGGATCTGGCCATGACTAATTCCACCCCCACCCCCCTTGCCTTAGAAGAGACCCTCTGCTTGCTTGCCGAGCCTTCCTGAGACAGGGGGATAATGTATGCCTGTTCCAAGCATACCAAAGTCACGTTTGCGAGCAGCACTCTGGCATTCTGCAAAAGCCGAGGTCATGGGGCCCATGCCCCTGGGGGCCAGGAGAGAAAGGCATGGAGGAAGGGGGAAGGGCCATCTGCTCGACTACTTATTCAGAGGTCACTGCTCTCTGTCACACAGCCTGCCAGCCTTTGGCTTCCAGGGCCCCTAAAGAGAGGGAGGCCCGAGGGGTGTGCGGGGAAGAGAGACATGATGAAAGCTGAGCCCTGATGCAGGGAGACAAGCCAGCCAGAGAGGGCTAAGTGAAAACAGCCATGGCTCCTGCACACTTAAAGGAACAGCACACCTTCTTCCCCGCCTTTCCTCCTCTCATTCCTTTTTCAAAAGCACCATTCCACCCAAAGTATTCTTCTCAAAGATGGGGAGAAACTGCCTTACTAGATCCGACTCAAGATCCCTCCCATGCTCCTTTCAAGATTGCTGCTGTTGTTGTTGTGAGCTTTCAAGGCATTTTGGCAACCCAGAGGCCAAGATGACTAAACTGAGATTGTTGTACTTTAGCTACATTATGAGAAGGCCTGACTCATTAGGAAAGACAATAATATTAGGGAAGGTGGCAGGAAGTAGGAAGAAAGGAAGACCACATACCAGATGGACAGACTCAATCAGGGAGGCTACAGCCCTGAACCTGCAGGACTGAACAGAAGGTGAAGAACAGGGGCCTTGGAGGTGTCTCATTCAGACTCACAGTTCCTCCCATGCTCCTTTCAAGACTGCTGTTGTTGTGAGCTTTCAAGGCATTTCAGACTCATGGCAGCCCTAAGCCAGCATGGCATAGTGGTTTGAGCGCTGGACTGTGACTGGAGATCAGGGTTCAAATCCCCTCTTGGCCATGGAAACCCATCGAGTGACCTTGGGCAAGTCCCACTCTTTTAGCTTCATAGGAAGGCAAAAGCAAACTCACTCTGAATAAATCTTGCCAAGAAAACCCAGGATAGGGTGACTTTAGGCTCGCCATAAGTCAGAATTAACTTGAAGGAACTCAGCAACAACAATAGAAGTGTGAACTTATCATGGGGTTTTCTTGGCCCACATGTTGCTAGCTTATTTTCAACACAATCATGGCGACCTTGTTGGAAAGCCTTACTGAAATCAAGATACACTACATCTGCAGCATTCCCTTCATCTACCAAGTTTGTAACTGTCAAAAAGAGAGATCAGATTAGTCTGGCATGAATTGTTTTTGAGAAACCCATGTTGACTTTTTCTGAGTATATACATACTGTCTCTTTCATGATCAACTCTAAAAATCTTGCCTGGTATTCCTCTCTCAGCTCAGAGGAAGCCAATGGCAAACTCCCTCTGAATGAATCCTGCCAAGAAAACCCAATAAGCTCACCCTACATTGGAGTCAATTTGAAAGCACAACAAACTGATAGTTTTGTGGCATGACTGCATAAGTAGCTTGTAGTTTGAATGCTGGTTTGTGGTTTGTTGGGTGTGAGGAGTCAACCTGGTATAGTAGTTTGAGTGTCGGACATTGGGAGACCAGGGTTCAAATCTCTGCTCAGACATGAAAACCCACAGGGTGACCTTGAAGTCACGCACTCTCACCCTTGTAAGAAGTCAATGCCAACCCCCTCTTGGCAAGTTTTATTCAACTTTCCAAGAAAATCCTATGACAGAACTGCCATAGGTCAGAGTCAACTTTAAGGCACACAACAACAACACAGTCCAAAAGAAGAACTTTTCCAGGCTCTGGGAATAGAGGAAAGTGGCACGCAACCTTTGTGCCTCCCTTGACAAGATTCCCAGAGGGGAAAGAAATAGCACGCGATGCTAGATGGACCTTTTCTCTAATGGATCCATTTGGGTCTTTCTGACACCCTTTATGGTCAAGAGTTAGTGTAAGACTGCTAGCACCTTGTTCTGTTCAAAATTGGAGAGCTCTAGGAACACAGGCAGCAGCTGTTTGCTTTCTGGTTCATTAATTCAGTGGTTCTCCTGAGCTACATGCAAAGAGCATTTCCTTTGTGGATTGATCATCCCTCACTTGGCTAAAAACCCCAGCCAGCTCTCATGCCACCCGCAGATCCATCGTCACAGCTCTGCTTTATTAAAGTCCCCACTTGTGTATTCAGTCACAATTCCAATGTATGTATTCAGTCACCAGATGTCAAGGGAAAATGAGACCAAGGACTTGGGAGATATTAAATGCCATCCATCAAACAGGAGGAGGAGGAAGATGCACCTCTTTACTCAGATTCATGCATAATGGGAAGGCTATTTGTTTTCAAACTTGCCCATTTGGCGATTATAGCAATTTATGTCCTCTTCAGCTAGTCAGGCAAGTCCTTTCTCTGACTACAGGTCCC